ACTTAAAATGTGCCAGGCCCTTATCACACCCTATCTTAATCTTTATCATAGTCCCAAGAGGTAGATATTATCCCCATTTTGCAAATGAGTAAACTGGGACTCAGAGCATTTGAGTGATTTGCCTAAGAACTCAGAGCTAAGAAATAATACATCTGGAATTCAAACTCAACTCTTTCTGTCCATGTTTTTTCCACTACATTACACTACATCCTAGACTGAAAGAATCAAAGTGAAGCCAAATGGATTTGGACTTTTGAAAAGTGGAAAGGGAGTACAATCCTCACCCCTAGAAATCACATTTCTCTGATAATGAAAAACACTTTATCCAATTTTATCTTAATTTATTTTGACCCTGCCTCTTTCCTAAATGAATTTGAGGTGGTTTATAATAAAAGACAGATCTACAATTAGGTTATTAGAATGGAAAATCAAAGTCATGAAAAGGAAGAGGAAGCAATTATGCTCAGTACAAGGACTAATGTAGTTAATATGACTGAACACTAAATTTGGTTCTCAGTTTCCTAGAAGTCAAGCCAAAAGTTATCTACTTTCAGGAAACCTCCATATATATTGTAATCTTGAGAGCAGGCAGGGTGGCTGGAAGAGCACTGTGTAAACAGTAAACTACTATAAAGCATTATTACTTATTATTATTATTGCCCAGAATAGCATTCTATATCCATCCAGCACTTCCAATTATTTTGGCTGTTGTTTCAATGAGAATTCCATACAATTTAGCATAATCTGAACCAGTCATGCATAGGAAACAACAAAAAGACAATGCTAACTCTGCCACTTACTAGATGTCTGACCTTGGACAAGAAACTTCACACCTCAACTTTCACATTTGTGAAATGAGAGGCTTGGACTAACACTAGATGATCTTATTTATTTATTTGTTCAACCATTAGTAGCTTTATTGAGCTTATAGCATAAAATTCACTTGTTTTAAGTGTAAATTCACTGAGATTTTTAGCAAATTTATAGAGTTGTACTACCATCACCACAATATAATTTTAGAAGATTTCCATCACGCCAAAAAGAAAGTTCATTCCCACTCCTCATTTAGATAATCTTTTAAAAGGTCCCTTCTAACTTTTATATTCTACATTTCTAGACTTACAAAGCTTTAGCAGCTCTTTGCTATCTATAGAACCAAGTTCAAATTCCTCAGTGTAACATTCAAGGTCCTCTACAATCTACAAAACCTATTTCTCCATCTTAATTCCTTGCTATGTTCCTCTCACTCCCTTGCCCTAATGAGTTACCTGTCTCTGAACTTATGTTCTTGCAGTTCCTTTGGTAGGGAGTTCCTCCCACCACCCCAATCTCTAAAGAGCATAATCCCATCCAGTATTCAAACTCAGCTTAAATGCCATTCCTTCCATAAAGCTTTCTTCATTTCATACATCTCACACCTATCTAGAACTGGACCTTATTTGCCTTTAAACTTCAAAAGTATTTTGTTTGTCCCTTTCATGAAAGATCTCACTTTCATTCTTGGATCTTATGCTTGGCATCTCATGACCTTACTTGAATAAGAGATCCTAGAGGTCAGTTGCCATATCTAAGAAAGCTATGTATCCTTAACAACTTTCAGCGTGGGATTCTGCAAATAATAACAATAATGATAATGATGATAATAACTGGTAGCTAAAAGTAAGCATCTATGATATGTCAGGCACTGTTCTAAGAACTTTTAAAAATATTAACTCATTTAATCCTGATAACAACCCTGTGAGATGGGAGCTATTATTATCATCGCCATTTTACAGATGAAGAAACTGAGGCACAGAGAAGTTACTTACTTGCCAAGATCACAAAGCTAGGTAAGTAGCAGAGTTGAGATTTGAATTCAGACAGTTTGGTTCCAAAGCATAAACTCTTAAGCACTACAGTAAATTTCCAAGCCAGTTGACACTCAAGAAATATGAACTGAAAAAATCTTAATTAATAAGGTTCCATTCTGGGAAGGAAAGGAAATTAAGAATTCTAGGTGCTAAGTGACACAGAAGTGATGGGAGTAGGGAAAAGTACAAAGAACAAATTCTGATTCATACAGGAGACTCACTGAACTATTGGATAGGCTTGAGGTGCTACAAAAATTATTGTTGAACCCTTAGGTTGCAACTTAAAACGACAGTTCCTCTTTCATGCATGTGTGATGGGAGTGCAAAATTGGTAGTACATACTCTAGCTGAACGCATGCATCTCCAATGATCCAGAAATTCCATTCCTATGCATATCCCGACAAAAATGCATGTGTATATCCATCAAAAGAATATTCTATTTGCAATAGCCAGAGCTAGAAACTCCCCATCACTCAAAGAATGGATAAATCTGAGGAATGCTAACAAAATGAAATACTATATAGCAATGAGAATGATCTCTAACAAAGAATATGGATGAGTCTTTCAAACATAATATTGAGCAAAAGAAGCCAGACACAAAAGAGTATATACTATATGAATCCATTTATATTAAGTAAAAAAAGGGCCAAACTAATCTATTCTGTTAGAAGTCATGATACTGGTTATCCTTTGAATGGGTATTGACTAGAAGGGGAATGAGGGGACTCCTGGTAATGTTTTGTTTCTTGATCTGGGTGCTGGTTACACGGGTGTGTGCAATTTACGAACATTCATGGAGTATAAATTTATAATCTATGAACTTTTCTATATGCATGTTACATTTCAATACAGTTTTTTAAAAAGTCTCCCCAAGAAGAGAAAAAGACTCAAGCAAGAACCAAAAATAAAAGTCACTTTTGCAGTTGACATGCAGAACAAATGACTGACAAGTTCATAGTTATTATCTCTTTGTCCTGAGATGGACAAGACAGATGTCTTTCCCTTTTGTGATAACAGTGAGTTAACAAGAGGGAGGCCATTTTAATCCCTAGCCATTAGTGCAAGCTAATCCTTCCCAGAGACTTATGATAAATAAAAGAAAAAAAATAGACTTGTGGCAGCATACCACCTGTGGGCACTCACAGCCTTGCCAGGCACCAAAAGAAATGCCAATTTTATTTAAAGAACTAAGTCTTTGTTTGGAGCTTTTATTTTTATTCTAAGACTCATAACACCATTCATGCAGTACAAATGGAATCTGGCCATGATGGCAGTTAAAGTTTTCTTGAGCACTAACCCAATCTCCACACCAGTCTGAAACTAAGCACTCTTATCTTTATTAGGCAAGTCCTTTCACCTCTATGGATCTCAGTTTCCTCATCTGTAACATGGGAATAATAATATTACCTCCCTTGTAGGTTGCTGCAAGGATTGAAAACTTATTTCATGTAAAGCATTTAGCACAGTGCTTGCCACATAAATACTTGATGTCTGAGCTGCTATTATTATTTTGATATGGACGGGATAATGGTATCTTCTCCTGTACCATACAGCTAGCCCAGTTTATAGCTGTAATCCCCCAACAAGGGGATTTTCATATTTTAAATATTTTAACACTCAAGCACAAGGGCAGTTCTGCCTCCCCCTCTCTCCCAGGTGGAAAGAGAAAAAAGAGAGAATTCAGACGAGCTAATTTTGAACTAGACAAGTAAAGTTGCTCAGGGTTAGATGGGTTGGGAGAAGAGGGAGTCTGGATAGCAGAAGCCCCTTTGCTTTGATGGTGTCACCTTCCTATACCATGCCAGAGAACCTGGTGCAAATGACATGACCTGGAAAGGAAGGGATTCAGAAAAATGGATTAAGGCTGGATTGTACAAGGGATGTTGTTATCTTCAACAGAGAAGGGGCCTGAAGAAGGAGTCAGGAAAGAAGAGGTTTGAAGATTGGAGTTCCTGCTTTGCCCATCAGGCAGCGTCATAATCTTAAATTAAAAAGTGGGAAGAACACTTTCCTAGTTACAAAAAAGCTTTCACATACATTCTTTAATTTAGTCCTCACAACCACCCTGTGAAGTGAGCATAGCAAATTTCCTTACCCCCATTTGGTAGAGGAGGAAAGAAAGGTTCAGAGAGGCTAAATAATTTGTCAAAGTCATCAGCTAGTAGTTGGGGAGACCAGTGTTCTAACTCAAGTCTTCTTGCTTCAAAATCCATGCTCTTTCAATTACAAATACTGGGCTTTTATGTGAACTTCAGTTAGCCTGGGCCACATCTGTTACGGTCGATAAAAAAAAATTAAGCAGAGACTAGTTAACTCTTCCCTGGTCCTGAGCCTCAGATGGTAGAAAGAAAACTGAGAGGAGGGAGGTGGATTTGGAATACAAAGAGGCTGGCGTTTTGGAGGGAAAATGTAGGGTCTGGAAAGAAGAGGAGAGAAGTAGGACCGGCACTAACTGGGGGCCGGCCGTAATCAGGCGCCAACTGGCCTAACAATCCACCACTTGGATTTTTCTTCCCGGCTGAGCAGAGCCAGGTCCACTCTGCTACCCCTCCTTCCTTTCCCATAGCGCAGCTTAGGCTGGAGAGATGCTGTTGCCCCCCAAACCCACACAACATGCCGGAGAGCTGGGCTAGGGACAGTGGTGGTGGTCTGGACAGCCATCGGGGTAGGTTAGGGGCAGAGGAGCCAAAAGAGCGGTAGGGAAATGCTGGATAAAGGAAGTAACTCTCCAGGAGGCGCTGCCATTCGGGTATTCGAGAAAGGCGGTTACAAGAGCGGCGAGTGTGTGTAAGAGGCTGGAGTAAAGTGAGTGTGTGAGGTAACGGCTGGGTTGCTAGGAGCTGGGGTCAGAGGAACAGAGCAGGGAGGGATTCTGCAGGCCTGCACCCAGAGCAGGGGAGGCGTCGCGTGAGGGGACGGTTGACGCAGACCATCTCTCCTCCAAGCCGCCACTGCCTGCAGGCTGGTCCTGAGGAGAAGAGTTCAGTTTAGTTGAAAAGGAGTGTGAACTGAGAAAGAGAACGCCGGTTCTAGCGCGGGAAGCGGGTATAAAACAGCACCCGAGAAAGGCTTGAGGGGATGTGCCTGGACTACCAACTGAACATGAGAGGGAGCTCGCGGCTTCCAGCCTCGCCTAACTCGTCTCCTTACCTTGGGCACCGTGATATGGTCCATGACTCGGGTTCCCGCTACCGGAAGTCCTCAGTGCTATTCCGGCTGCCACTGCCACCGCCACCACTGCTCTTGCTGTCTCGGAGTTTGCCCAACCCGGGCTCCTACCCTCCTCCCTCCCTGTCCTGGCTCAAACTCCCGTCCCCAGATCCTCGCGGAGGTTCTTATCGCGACACTTCGCCCGTGGCCACTTCCGCCATCTTGCTTCCTGGCAAATGCCCTTTTCTCTGGGGAACTGACTTTTGCTTCAGGCTCCAGGTTTAACCCAGGAGTTCTTAAGTCCTAGACTCTAGTATTGCCGCCCTTCTCACGCTCCATGATCCTGTAAGGATTCTGAGCATGATATCATTCCATTACTCTCTCATGTTAACAGTGATGGCACCCTATAGAGTTAGCGCGGACTGTACCCTGCTGACAACTGTATTTCTGAAGAGCTTCCTAGCTTTGATACCTTGGGTAAGTCACTGTAGGTTATTTTTTGAAATAGTTTATAAACATAGCCTCGTCTCACTCCTCTCCTTTGCAAGTCTACTGCCATCAATCTAGTTAAAGCCTGGACCATTGCTCATCACAAATGTAGGAAAAGGACCAAAGGCCCACTGGACCACCTCTCAGATGAGGGGCAGATAGGTGCCTTCACTTTGTGGTGTTCTGTGAATCAGACTTGTGATGGAAAAAAGAAGAGTCCGGAAGTTGGAAAAACTGGGTTTTACTCTCAGGTCTGCCACTAACTTGCTGTGTGATCTTGGGCAAATCATGTCACTTCTCTGAGCATTAAATTGACCAAGGTTACAATGAGGACACTGGACACTATCTCTGGGGTCATTTCTAGCTCTACTGTTGTGATGTTATGGTTTGCAATCACACTTCCCCTACAAAGTGATTTCTTTCTTCTTTGAGAGTCCATGATACTTTCTAGTTAAACTACTCATTCATCCTATTCCACCTTCTTCCCTGCCCTAAAAGCCCTTCCCTCAACCCATGGCCTAATTATTCTTTGAGCTGTCATTACATGATTTTCACTTCTTTTACTACCAAACCTCTCAAAAGAATAGTATACACTTAGCATCACCTCTACTTCTTCATAACACACTTATTCCTCCCTAAACATTCCCCTCAATTGGCTCTTTTATATCATCCCGAACTCCAATTTCTGCACCCAATAGCTGTCCTTAGTGCTCAATCTCATTTGTTCTGCAGCATTTAACACTGTTGATTCATATTCCTTTTTGACACTCTTTCTTCCCTTGGCCTTTGTTACAAAGCAGACTCATTGACTGCCATCCCTAACTGTTGCTTCTCCGCCTCCCTCCCAGCTCCTATTTGTCCTTCTTTAGCCATTTCCCGGGCTTCTGTCCTAATTCCTCTTCTATTTTCTCCCCCTTGGTAATTTGATCTCTTCCTCAGGTTCAATTCTTACTCCTTGGTAGGGGACTCCTTAATACATCTTAAGTTCTGTGACCTTTCTCCTGAGCTCTAATTTGGAGATTCCAACTGTCACATGAGAGTTCCATTCGGGTGTTCCTGCTAGCACAGTAAAGGCATCATGGCCAAAAACAAACTCCTCATCTTTCACACCCTCCTCCTGCCCCCTGCACTCTCCCACCTCTGCCACCTGCTCTTTTTCAAGTTTTCCCCATTCCCTATTAATACCACTACCACACGCCCATTTGCTCAGACTCAAAACCTAATTTCCATGCTATTTGGGATAGTGAAGAGGAGCATGGACTCCAGGTTCAAATTTTGGCTCTGCTGTTTGCTAATGGTACATGACCTTGGGCAAGTTACACAACCTTTCTGGGTCTCAGTTTTCTCATCTGTAAACCCATCCTAATAAGGTGCTTGTGAGGATTCAAAGAGGAAATGTATATCAGGTCCAGGGAACATTATAAGCTCACAGTGAATACTGGTGGTTACCTTCCTTTCCTCAGCTCAATTATTAAACATGTCTGTTCTTCTCCTCTCTCTCAAATGATTACCTTGCTCCCTAGTTCACTGATAAGATAGAAGCCATGAGAAAGGAACTTCCACATCCTCCCACAACGAAATCTGCTTGCTGCCCTGCAGGTGAACCCATATAATCTTCCTTCAGTGAATCAGCTGTTTCTCAGCCTTCCTAAGGCAACCTCTCCACTTATCTACTCAATGTCATCCTCCCTCACCTACTCAGTTGTCCCTTCTTTTCTTTATCATGAAACATTCCCACTTTACCAGATTTACCACTTTACTCTCACTCCTACTTCTCTTTCCCAATCTCCTTTGCTGTTTCTTCCTTGTCTTACCTATCTCTACATGTTGGAATGCTGCCAGGGCTCAGACTTTGGTCGTCGTCTCTATTTAAACTTATTACCTGGGTGCTGTCATCCAGCTCCATGCCTTCCAAAATTTTGTCTCTACTCCTGATTTGTCCTCTGAACTCTTAAAGTTACATAATATCCAACAACCTGCTGGACACGTCTACTTGGATATCTTGTTAGCATCTCAAACTTACCATATCCGACACAAAACATATGATTTCTATTTGCATCCTCAAGTCTATTCTTCCCATAGTATTTCTCATCTCAGGAAATGGCAACTCCATTCTTCCAGTTGTTCAGGCCAAAAGCCTTGGAAGCATCCTCTTTCTCTCATATCCCTCACATGATTCATCATCAAATCCTATCAGCTCTTCCTTCAAAATATTCTCCAAATCTAATCACTTCTCACTCCTATACCTTGACCCAAGCATCTATTTCTCTTGCCTGGATTGTCAAAGTCTGGTCTCCATATTTTGGCCATGGTACCCCTAGAATCTATTCTCTACATAGAATATTTTAGACTCTAGGATCTATAGTGATGTCACTCCTTTGCTTAAAACCTTCCAGTGCCTCCCCATATCAGAGTAAACAACGTCTCTGTGTCAAACCCTTAATCATGGCCTAGGAAAGCATACATATGATCTAAGCCAAGTACCTTTCTGACTACATCTTCTATCACCCTTTTCTCTCTCTGCTCAAGTCGTATTGATCTCCCTGCTATTTCTCAAGTATGGCAGATATGCCCCTGCCTCAGGGCCTTTACGCTTGCTGTTCCCTCTGCCTAGAATGCTCTTCCCCCAGACATCCACGTGTTCACTCCCTCATCTGTCAGTTCTCTGATTGAATGTCACCATACCAGAGAATCCCTACCTGAGTACTTTATATAAAGTAAAACCACCACCACTTCTTCCTCAGCATTCTCTACCCTCCTAATCCTTCATCTTCATAGTTATCAACATGACCTGATATATTATAAATGTCTTCATTATTTATTATTTGTCTCCCCCTCTAAAATGTCAACTTCATGAGGGCAAGGACTTTTTGTTCACTGCTAGACCTCCAAAGTCTAGAACATACCTGAGACACATTAAGTACTCAATAAATATTTGTTGAATGAGGGGCTGGCCCCGTGGCCGAGTGGTTAAGTTCTCGTGCTCCACTGCAGGCAGCCCAGTGTTTCATTGGTTCGAATCCTGGGCGTGGACATGGCGCTGCTCATCAAACCGTGCTGAGGCAGCGTCCCACATGCCACAACTAGAAAGACCCACCATGAAGAATATACAACTATGTACTGGGGGGCTTTGGGGAGAAAAGGGAAAAAAATAAAATCTTTAAAAAAGAAATTTGTTGAATGAATGATGAATTTTCAAACCTATCCCAGATTTTTTCCACCATTAACTTTAGCCATTCCTCCTAACATTTTCTCCTTAAGGCAAGTCGATATCATTTCAGAGGAAATTAAGGCATAGATGGTGACTTGCTAAAGGTTGCAGAAGTCAGAAGTCAGATTGGACTCCCACAGGAGTAGAGAAAGCCTTGGCGTAAGAAGGAAAATTGGGAATAAGAAAGTATTAGACTCATAAAGTATTTTCAGTGAAAGGGATACTATTATGATCTATTTATTATTTGTTTGTCTCCTCCCATTATGTTGTCAGCTCCATGAGGTTTTTCTCTGTTCACTACTGTACCCCATGACTAGAAAAGTACTTGGCATTACATCTAGTAGCATATTCAACAATAAAATATTGAAGTCTTTCTTTTGAAGAGCAAGGCAAGATTGAGTGCAAAAGAACATAAGAAATCTTTCTGGAGTGATGGAGATGTTCTATATCTTGGTTAGGTGGTGTTTACTTTGGTATATATACATCAAAACTCATTGATCTGTACTCTTTAAATGTGTCCACTTAATGGCTTGTAAATTTTACCTTAATAAAGTTGTTTCAAAAATTGGGAAAAAAATAAAGCCTGTTCATATCCTCTGCCCATTTCTTGATCAGGTTGTTCATTTTGCTGTTGTTGAGTTGTATGAGTTCTTTACATATTTCTGAAATTAACCCCTTGTCAAGTATATGATTCAAAAATATTTTCTCCCAGTTGGTGGATTGTCTTTTCATTTTATTGATGGTTTCTTTTGCCGCCTTCTTTTGCAGAAGGTTTTTAGTCTGATTTAGTCCCATTTGTTTATTTTTCTTTTGTTTCCATTGCCTGAGTAGACATGGTATTTGAAAAGATATCGTTAAGACGGATGTCAAAGAGCATACCGCCTATGCTTTCTTCTAGGAGTTTTATGGTTTCTAGTCTTACATTCACATCTTTAATCTATTTTGAGTTGATTTTTGTGCATGGTGACGTCACAGTATTATTCACAATAGCCAAGACATGGAAGCCACCTAAGTGCCCACCAACAGATGAATGGATAAAGAAGATATAATGTATGTATATATACATACAATGGAATACTATGCAACCATAAAAAAGACAAAACCATGCCATTTGTGACAACATGGATGGACCTTGTGGGTATTTTGCTAAGTGAAACAATTCAGAGAAAGACAAATAACATATGATTTCATGCATATGTGGAAGATAAGCAAACAAACAAACACATAAATAAGGAGAACAGATTGGTGGTTACCAGAAGGGAAGTGGGTGGGGGAAGGCCAAAATGCGTAAAGGGGCACATATGTATGGTGATGGATAAAAACTAGACTATTGGTGGTGAACACTCTGCAGTCTATACAGAAGCTGAGATATAATGATGTACACCTGAAATTTACGCAATGTTAGAAGCCAATGTGACCTCAATAAAATATTTTTTTAAAAATTGGGAAAAAAGAAAAGTAATTGAC